GCCTCGCTCATCTGTTACACTGATTTAATTAATAATAACTCTCTTCCCGTTTTACGCGGATTCCAGCGCTCAACTTTGCACAGCGGGCTTAAGTATTTGATTTTAGCCAGAAATGTTCCTTTTTGTGGGCTTTGAAGCGCCGTCAATTGTACCTTTGCGTATCTCATACAAAATCGTATACCAATGCCGAGGATAAGGAAATATCACAGCCATGCGTTTGTATTATTCCGAAAATTGCACCTAGCTGGCTAGAAGGCTCGTAAGCTTTGTATGGGACGGTTTTTCATCCATGTCATTAGGTATGCTTGAACGCATGGGCCCAATTCTATAGCCCTAACAAACAGTCATTTAACTAACAAAAGTAACGCAGAATAAATAGAGACAGTGAAAAGTGATAACGGGATGGCCGTTCCCGTGATAATCACTACTCACAATCGCAAGCGACAGAATAACAGGCCCATTTTCTTTTCGAAAAGCCCTGAAATTAATGATCATTGGCCAGAGTCTGAGTTTGAGCCCCTGTTATCCGAACCGGGTGTTACGGCCAATAAGCTAGCAAAACCCAGCTCAGTTTTCTTTTTCTTGGTCGATTGTTACTTTGAACTTCAAAATTAAAAATCATTCCACCGCCTTTCGCAGGAGGACAGAAAATAAAACCGATCTTACTATATTTTTTTATTTTTTTATTAGTACTTTCGAAAAATGTTAAACTGGCCGAGGTAGCGGTCTATTTTTTAAGGCTATGATCTTAAACATAATCGGAAGTGATGGCCTTTCAAAGTTAAATGAAATAGTCTAACTAAGGCATATGCTCTGCTTTTGGCTATAAAAAGAAGAAATGTAGCTTTTGCGATCACTTTTTGGATGTTTCGACTGTGTTAACATACTGTACGGCCCTAAATTGAGATCTCCAACATCTTTTGGTCGCTCTTGGGCGTTTGGCTCTTGTAAATTATAGCCAGTTTTGACGTAGAAACTGCAAACTGCGCATTTTACTTCCCGATTGCCAGCACTCGAGGACCAGTATATCATGGCCGTGCCCTGGGAGGATTCCACTATTTGCGAACTCGACATCTCCTCCACAGAACTCTCGTCCGAATGCCTGGAGTACTTCCTCACACGGATTCCTGGATTCAGATACCTGGCAGCGGCTCATACCGACTTTTTCAACGACTCGGTAGGTCTGCTCTTCTTCTTAAACGGTATGCCATTCGGACCGGAGGCTTCAGTCGCACACATATACACTTCAATCTATCGGGCTTCTGACGAGCAGTGTCACAGGTTTTGCAGTGAATTAGCTGCGGCTCTGCGCTGTTGGCCAGAATGGAATTCCACTCCGATAATTACTTTAAAAATCATAATGGTTGATTAAGTGGTTGCTATCTGTAAACTGAAGGGTAAGAGTGACATATATGCGTACACCGATCTGTCAGAGGACCCACTCGTCCGTCCATATTGCCATTAGAGCTCTCTCTCGAGCCTCCACCGCAAGGCGGCTAGGATATAGGCATAAGGC